AATCGGCCCGACTAATTTTCTCCGTTGAATATAACGAATTTAAACCATGTTTGTTTGATAGTAGTAAAACAAAAGTTATTCTTATAAACAAAAGTTATTTTTTTTGGAGAACAAGTCATTCTCCCAATTTTATAATGATATAGCATTGTATCAAATATGACATGGCAAAATGTCTTTCTAATTTAGCCGACTAATAACTAATTAAATTAGCCCACAATCAAGAAAGCTTCTCTTCAATCGACACAATCATATTATACCTCTCAATCACAATTCAATCGGCCTCCTCCACTATATATAAATGGTTTTGGGAGATAACACGGCCAACAAAAATTTATAACAATCGGCTTCTCAAGTTAATTTTCTTTAAAATGGTTTTGGGAGATGAGTAAGATATTCACAATCAAACTAATCTTACGTATACACGGAAAATTTCATGACAATGTTCTAAGAAGACAATGTTCAAATATGATGATGTATAGTGGTGCAACTACAAATACATTAATAAGGGACAAGATTATGTTAATGTATTAGTTCAAAAAGAGAATGAGAATGACGGCTCAATTGATGAAGTTAAGACAATATTATCAAAAAAATAATCTCACGGAAAGAAGATTAATTTTACATGCTTTCTTTCGATTATTTGATTTGAATTATGTATCTCTCGTGTGTTGGTAATCTTCATAATGTTCTTTTAGTCATTGTTATTTACTTATTTTTAAAAATTATTTTTTTTTGGATTTACAACATCAATAATGGATCTTTCCTTTTTTTAATACCAATTTCATAAGTTTAACTCAGTTATACCGAATTTAAAAGAACAATATATTTCGAATAAGTAAAGCAATGTATCTCCAACAAAATCAATATTTCGAATTAAAAATTCAATATTCCATAAGTAAAGCAAAATAACTTTTAATCAATATTTTTTTTATAACAATTGTCGTTTTTAATTGAAAATTGTTTACAAATTAATTTTCTACCTTTGCCTTCATTATCTTCAGCAAATGATCATGTTACCGATTTGTTTTTGACATTATTAAATTTTATTTGTTTTGAAGAATTGCTCATATTAATCTTTTAATATTTCGATGTCGAATTCAGTTTTTTATTTAAAATTTAATGTGAAGAAGATGATTTTTTAAACAATAAGATGATTAAATATAGGATTTAATATTTTATGGCATGAATCTCAACTTTTTATTGTGCACTACAATGTATTAAATTATCATATATTTGATTTTACGTATATAAAATAATAAAATAGTACAACTAAAATTTAACAATTTTAGTTTTTAATTGAAAAAATATTTACAAATTAAATTTTCGTTTTTTTCTTTCCGAAGAGTTGTTCATATTAATTTTTTAATATTTCGATATCGAATTCAGTTTTATTTAATTTTCAATGTGAAGAAAATGATTTTTTTTTTCTTTAAAAAGATGATCAGATAAGGAATTCAATATTTTATGAGAGGAATCTCAACGTTTTATAATATATTGTGTACTTCAATGTATTACATTATTATATATTTGATTTAACAAGTTTACGTATATAAAATAATAAAATGGTAGAACTAAATTTTTAAAAATTCATATTATTAATAAAAAAACAATATAGTTGACAAAAAAATGAACAACAATAATGTCTATGGTAAAAATCAAAACAAATACATATTTATACATTTTCAAAGTGTAAAATTGAAAACAAAATTATAAATCAATTATCCGCGGACGAGTCACATAGTGAGAAATATATCATTTATTATAATGAAGAAAAAAAAGTAACAAGTTTATGAAAATACTTCATAAGCTCTTTTCTATAAACTCCCAAATCCTCTGTTCCATATAAATCCGGTCCTTCTCCTTTCGTGGCATATGCCGTTCGTCGGGAAATATCAGCAACTCATACCGTTTTCCTGCTTCGACAAGCGCGTTCACAAGCCTAGCCGTATGCCTGAAATGCACATTCTCGTCTATCATTCCGTGTACTAACATCAGCTTCTGCTTATCCGTCAAGTTCCCGACATGGTGCATTACTGAGCTCTGCAGGTAGCGCTCCTCCGGGGGAAGGCCCATGTACTTTTCAGTGTAGAACGAGTCGTACCCATCCCAAGATGTAACAGGAGCACCCGAGACAGCACAGTTGAAGATCTCAGGGTATCGAGTCAAAAGTGTAGCTGAGAGGTACCCACCGTAACTCCAACCATACACCCCGATGTGGTCCGGTTTAGCCAGGCCTTGCTCGATCAGCCATTTGACCCCGGTTACTTGATCCTCTGCATCAACATTTCCACAGTTATGCTTGATCGAAGATTCAAATTTCATCCCACGCCGTGCAGTTCCTCTGTTATCAAGCTGCAAAATTCAGTGAAAATATATCAAGCCTTAAAGCCTCATCTTTGAGTGAACCTTACTCATTATTTTCTTGAGAAAAAAAGCGAGAAGATAAAGAATTTGTAAAACCTTCCAAACTAAGACCCCTCTGCTTCGCAGGTATTGTGTCCTCATGTCGACTGTATTAATCCAAGAATCATGGACCAACTGAACGCTGGGACCTCCATAAACGTTGATCATTGTTTTATATGGAGGAGGACCGAATTTCGAACTGTCGGGTTTGTAAAGCGCCCCGTACAGCGTTGTCTTCCCATCATTCGCTTGTATTTGAACAAACTCCGGAGGTTTGACTTTAAGGCTTTTCAGTATCGGTATAGGAGATGTCTGCTCGTAGAGAATCTTGAGTACAGTCCCGTCACTCAAAGAGCAAAGAGAAACCCGTGGAGGCGAATCGACTGAATCATGAATGTCGACGAAGTTCCTCATCTGGTGATCCAGCACAACGATATGTTTTCCTTTCCCATGTGTGAGCCTCAGCGGTTGACACCGAGATGCATCCCCAGCTTCCAGTTTTGTGCAGTAAAGATTAGTCTCAAGTGGTCCATCGAGAGTCGCAGTGAAATATACCAGACACATCGGCTCATTTACACCTGCAATTTGCTCAACCATCCATTCACCGCTAGTAATGGCTCTAAGGCATGTCCCATCAGACTCGTATAGATACAAATGTCTGAAACCGGTCCTCTCGCTTGCCCAAATGAATCCTCCTGAACGCCTCGATGAAGGGACTTTCTCCAGATGGGTAAAACAGTCATGTAAAGTCACCCACGCATCAGATTCTTCTGTCAATATTATGTTTCCTTGACCAGTCTTTATGTCAAAGTTGATGATTTTCAGTTTACTCTGCGACCTATTCAGAACCTGGGCTATGAGAACATTCCCGGGCATCCAATTAACTCTACCAAGATACTCGTCCTCTCTATTGGTGCTTCCTCCGCACACAAGATTCATCCAAGTCGTCTCCCCACCGCCAGCTGAAGATACTACCCCGAGACGGACTGTGGAATTGAGAGCTCCAGCAAAAGGATAAGCATGATCTTCTTGTGCCTCTGAACCAACCGAGCTTTTACCCTGATGCATTATTCTGAACAAAGGAATCTGTGAAGAGTCGACTTCTGAATAGGCGATGAATTTGCTATCTAATGACCACCAGTACCCACTCCTCCGATCCATCTCCTCCTGAAATAGAAAATGTTTCAAGAAAATATTTCAGATAAATTAAACCGTCTATTTCTTCCGGGAAAACAGACAAATTGGGGGAATTTTCCAGGTAAAAGTTTCTCACCTGAGCTATGTACTCAGCAAGACCATGAGTCTGCAGGAACAAAACAAATCAGAGTTATTCTCCAGAGAGCATGTTATACGGATAAACAAAACTAATAAAACTGCAAGAACAGCCATGTAACAAAGCTTTACTTACCAGAGTACTTCCATTCGCACCGTTTGTAAGCTGTTGTGTCTGGTTTTTTAACAAATTGAGGGCATGCAACTCGGAGTCTCTTATGTATGCAAGCAATAAGCCATTAGGAGATAGACGAGGATCAATGATTGGAGAAGTGGGTGAACTTGGAAGTATGAGCTCTGGATTTGGTGATGAATTAAGGTCTTTCATATACACCTAACCATGATCAAAACACAACACACAAGAAGTAACCAAACAGAGTTAGATTATCTCAAGATTTTACAAAAAAAATGCAAAATGTTTTAAAAAAACACCAATGCAGCTGATAAGATTCAGACTCTGGATTATGAACAACTAGAGTCAAGAACCGGCGATGACCAAACCCTAAGTAAGATCCTCACGTATCGATTTGTTGATGCGATCTTCTAACTCTCCCAAAGCCAAAAGGCTCCCAACTAACCACTTGGTCAAAGACCCCTACCTATTTATACTATTCCTTCTACCACATTCTAGTACCCATCAGTACATTGCTATATCCATCTGGACCATCTCTTTTAAGTTCAAATTCATATGCGTGCTCTAGAAAGTGACAATGCCAATAAAAAACTGTCGTAATGTTTCAAGACGAAGATCGTAATACTCTGATAATAAAAGCAAGGAAAGTAAAAAGAACAAACCCCGGCAGGTAGAGGCACCACAATGAATTTCATCTTCAAGTTTGTCTTGACCCATTCATACCGAGTTACTCCTAACCCACGCTCCCTCAACCTCTCCCTTCTCAACTTCTCTTCCGGTGAAATGTTGCTCTCATCAACTCCACCATCAGGAGGACTAAACACCAAACTAGACTCTCCGTTCTTTACATCAAACGTGTACACTCTTCTATTCAAATTCCCTTGAGGACTAAACAAGTAACTGATCAAAGAGTCATCAGAACTAAAGCTGACTGCAGTTGGAGCTACATAACCAGGTAAAGGCGTCTGAACAATATCTTCAACCGCGAAAGGAACCTCCTTTTCGCTCATTTCCGCCATGAAAGAAAAAACAAAACCTCTATGATTCTCAAGGGATTTAGAATTCGTTCAGCGCCTCAACGCATTAGATAGATATATTATCCAAGAATCTGCAACATAAAACCACAAAACAGAATCTTCAGAGGATACTACAAACATCAAGCTTTCTTGATCACAAAACAAAATCTGACAATGTATATCAATCAACCCGTTGAATTAAAGGTCAATGCGGACAAACTATCATCTCTCGAAGGATTAACATCGTAAAGTTATCTCCTTTATATCAGTAAAGATGCGCATGAAGAGAAAAAAGCAATCTTGAATTGAATTATAATAAAGGGTCAATCAATAGAAACCCATACCGAAAGATTGATTCTTGGAAATTTGACCCAGAAGAATGTGAAAGGGGAAGGAAGGAGAGATTAGAGATGAAGATGGTGAAGGAGACCAAAAGAATGGAGGAGATGGTCAGAGAGATTGACCGAGAAACTGAGTCCGGATAAGAATAAATATACCGAATCGGAGTAAATTCCGATGAGAACTGATTCAGCTTATCTGGGAGATGGAGAGGAGATTCTTGTTCGGTGAAATGAAATTACTTAAATTGAAAAGGAAATCAACAAACTTTTTTTATTTTATTTTCAAGTAGTACATTTTTTTTTTTTKTWTTTCAATTAGTACACAA